TTCAAATATATAGTTCATCTTTCTTTAACAGTTGGTTTAAAGGTTTAGCAATTTTAGAAAATTCTTGAATAAATCATCGATAATAGGAGGCAATTCCTAGAAATCCTCTTAATTGTCTAAGGTTTGTTAGTACTAGAAAGTTTTTAATCTTTTCTACTAATCTTTCATCAGTTCTAATTTCATCTTTTCCTACTATGTGTCCTAGGAATTTAATGTTATTTAGAAAAAAATAACATTTTGCCAGATTTAATTTAAGATTGGCTTCTTGAAGAATAGTAAATATTTGTTGTACATGCTCAAGGTGTTGTTCGAAGGTTGGTGAATATATAGTTATATCATCTAAATATACAACTACTAATTTGTTGATATATAGATGAAGAATTCGATCTATTAAGCATTGAAAAGTAGCAGGAGCATTTGTGAGTTCAAAAGGCATAACATTAAACTCATATGTTCTAAATTTAGTAACAAATGCAGTTTTCTTTTTATCTTCTTCTTTTACTGCAACTTGCCAATATCCACTGGCTAAATCTAAGCTAGTAAACCAAGAAGCTCCATTAAATAAACTTAAAACTTCTTAAATTGTAGGTAAAGGATAAACATTTTTTTCTGTAACAGTATTAAGCTTTCTATAATCAATACAAAAGTCTTTTTCTACTATCCTTTTTTGGCATAATTACTACTAGAGAAGACCAGGGTCCATAGAATTCCCTAATAATTCCCTTTTCTTCTATTTCCTTAATTTCTTTTTGAAAAAATTCTTGCTCATCAGGAGGATATTGATATGCTCATTGTTTAATAGATCTGGCTTTATCTGTATTTATTTCATGACAGATAATATTTGTTTGTTCTAATTGTTTAGATTGTCCTTCTTCTAAGATATTTTCTGAGAAAATATCAATATTGTTTGTTAAGAATTGACTTACTTGTTCTTGTTGCTCTTTAGTGAGTTCTTCATTTATATTAAATTTAGAATTATCTATAGTATAAATCTTTTCTTCTAGCATCTGAGTTAGATAAAAAGCAGGTGTAGTTTCACTATTAATCTAGGGATTATAGAATAATTCATCTACAACAGGAGGCCATTCCTCAATGTAATAGGTTTCAAATTCGTCATCATCAATTTCATTAATTCATTGATCATCATCATTTTTATTATCAATTTCTTGGTAAATAGGATTTAAACTACTAGTGTGAGTAGCATTAATAGTAGCTCTTTTGCCTAGATATC